ACGCTTCCACCCAACCACACAGTCCAGGCGCCTCGCCACTACTCTTCTTCTTCTTCCGCGCCCCGCAGGCTCGTGCATATTCGTTTCAATATTGGTTACGGTTTATTTGTAGAGCCAGTTAATGCATGAATGTTTCTCGTTTGTGTGAATTTTGAGGGTTTTTTCATGTTTTGTCATCTCGTGTTATAAGAAATTGGATTTGACATGTTACCACCGACTTGCGTATATCTGTCAACTCCTTCCCCTGCAAGCGCTTCCAAGATGAATTCGTGACCCAGACTGGCCGAATCAAATTCTGCGTTAAACTTTTTGCACTCCACTTAAACAAATTAAACGTTTGTGTAACAATACCACGTGAGTTTCTGATTGCACTCTTAATACAGTTAATGTGTACAATCAATACAACCTCACTTAAAGGCACTCAATAGCCAATTACAACAAAGATAGCGTCAGATTCACTAGTGTATAGTAATTCTAATTAAGTAGCAGTTAAATAGCTATTTACCGTATTTACTCGTCTAATCCTCGCACTCGGATAATTCTCGCACCCCCCACATCGCCCAACAAAAATACGATTTATTTTTTTTCTCGAGTAATTATCGCACCCCCAAAACTGCCGCAATAATGTCGTTGGCTCGTTCCAGCCACTGATGATGATAGCGCGCGCTGTCTGGCACCATCTCTTAACCATCAATCGTACTATTGCATGGAGATTCAATCCAAGCCAAGCCGAAGTAGCCAGTGCGCGTTGCGGCGTGTTTTCTATATTGTGTCGGTAATCTTGTCACGTTTTAGGCCATACTCAAGCTACACGGCTCCTTTCAAGTTGCAAGTGATAGATCATGCACTCAACAGTGGCAACAGGGCCACCGGTAGGCCCTTTGGAGTCTACGAGTTCTGTATTCGCTACTGGTGACAGCAGCTGAAAGCCACCAAGACGCGTTGGGCCTGCCGTGTGCCTAAAACTGGGATTGATGGTAAACTTTATTTCTTCAGAAGGGAACTGCGGACGATTCTGGTAAATAGCCATCAGCCCAATACTGACGTCCTACGCTTACCATTCGAGGGCTCCGTTTGAGCGACGAACGCTATCGCTACGCCCACAACGTCCAGAAGCTTTGCATATGGTATTCTATCTCTCGACTGTTTGCTTCCACTTTTTGTGTCTCAAATAAATCTTGCCTCGTGTTGAACCTCTGCTTTTATTGATGAGGTAAGTTTTAATTTGTACTTCTTAAAGCTTGCTGTTGGTTGTTGTTGTTGTTGTTTGCCTGTGCGAATGGCTCGTACCCAAAGAAGGGGATTGGCCGATTATAAGGTGAATTTGCCCTAAACTTTCAGCATTGGGTCATTCCTACAATTTTTTGTAACTTAATTTTGATTTGAAATACCGATATCAAGTTTGCAGAAAAAAATAACAAAAATAGTGAGACAGCAATTTAGCAAGAAAATCGTTTAGTCGCAGTGATGTATTCTTGAACGGCGAATAAAACATCCCTGTGGCTGAAACCCAGTGTAGAGGCTCCAAATGAAAGAAGATCAGGTTGTGATAGTTGCAAGCCCAGTCTTTGAAGAGGTGGTGCTAGTATGCTTTGCCTGAATAAATCGAAACGGCGACAATGTAATAAAAAATAACTGATCGTTTCCTCTTGATTACAGTAAATGCACATAGGGGAATTCAATATGCCTGATCTATGCAAGTAAAAATTGAGGGAGGTAACGCGGCAACGAAAATTCGTGATGACAACTTCCATCATCCTTGATTTAGTCAGTTCACTGCGCCAGGGAAATAACAAGTGTTTGTACTCTGGAAAAGCCGTCAGTGCAGGGTCAGATAAATTTTGCCTGATTTTAAGTGTGCGAAATCGCGCCACCGTAATGTATACTGTATGAGGGAAAATAGGAATAATTGGTGTCGAAAGGGATGCCTTCGCAAGAGAATCAGCTATTTCGTTTAACAACAAACCTTTGTGCCCTGGTGTCCAGATTAAATGAATACTTCGGAGATGACAGGGGATCAACGATTTAAAAAGTTTCACTATAGGTGAGTGACCAGATGCGGACAGAGAAGAGCACACTGATAATGAATCAGTTATGACTGCTACAACTGGAATGGAAATATTTACCTTTCGCAAAGCTAACATTATTGCCATGAATTCAGCCAGAAAGACAGGAAGAAAGTCCGGTAAGCGAAGTGAAAATGACCAATCAAGTACGGGGCAATATATTCCAACACCTGATTTTTCATGTGATTGAGATGCGTCCGTTGCTATAATGACATTTGTTGGCAGAGTACTTAAATGGTCCTGCAATAAACCATTTAATATGCCTGTAGGTAATAGCTTTGCGTGAGTTGGGAAGATATCATGGTAAACACTTTCTGGAGAATTTTGTTGCTCAGTTAAAGGAATCAGATCACGAACGTGTACATTTAGGGGCTCAAGTAACGATTGAACAAATACTATTCGTGGTTTGGTAAATCTGGGCCAATGCACGGAGAAGAATAGGTCAGGATTGGAAATAAAAATAATTTGTTCAGGGTTAAACGGTGCTTCATATATAGTCGTAAAAAGGTCTGCACAGTAAGAATGTTAAAGCGACATAATAAGGTTGGTATTCGTGCTTCAAGGTATAACACTGCATTTTCAGTATACTTTGGAAGTCCTAAGCAGAGCCGTATAGCCTCTCTTTCCAACAGAACGAGCGGCCGAAATTTGTAGGCTGGCGCACCAGAAAAAAGAATGCAGCCAAACTCCATCACAGGTCGGACATACATTTTATATATAATCAAAAGTGCCTTTCTTCTCATACCTGATCTACAATTGCTCAACCTCCGCAATACGCCCATCGCGCGTACTGCTTTTGTCGCGATGTATTCAATGTGAGGGTGCCAATTTAGATGCTCATTATACATAACTCCAAGATATTTCAATGATTGTACTTGTGGGATATCTTGAAGCTTGTAATTAATAGATATGTGCACGAGATCTTCGATTGCAAAAACGAGAATAGCACATTTACCGGTATTCAGGTTCAACATCAATCCATCCAAGCAATGTTCTATTTTATTAAGATATGTTTGCAAGATAGTGTAGAGACAGTGGAAGTCATGTGCCATAGCAAAGAAAGCAATGTCATCGGCATAAACATAGGTTTTCACTTCTGGATGAACGGGGATGGTACTAAGCAATATGTTGAATAAAACCGGGGAAAGTACTGACCCCTGAGGTACACCTCGGGTTTGCTTGTGCTTACAGGAAGAGAGACCGCCTTGATAACAATAGAATTCTCTTCTACTTAAAAATTCCGTCACCCATGCTACTATATAAGGTGGAAGTCCATGACTCCATAACTGATTAGTCAAGATAGAATACTCTACACTATCATATGCTTTACATATGTCTAACGTTACTAAAGCCGCAAAGTGCTTTTTGTGACGGGCAATATGAATACGACTTTCCAGATCTACATGTGCATGCCATATGGAATATCCAGATCTAAAGCCAAATTGGGAAGAACTCAACAGTTGTTTCTCGTTAATAAACCTAATTATACGACCATGAAGTACTCTTTCAATAAGTTTTACTACATTAGATGTTAAGGCTATCAGTCGTATGTTGTCTAAATTATAGCCTGCCCCCTGTTTCTTAAGCAATGGTATAATTTTCGCAATCTTCCATTCAGAAGGGATCCATGCTCTTCTAAGGGAATAATTGACGAGACCTAACAGATCATTCGGATATTCCCTGTGAAGTATTTTTAGCATTGTATTTGTTATTCCATCGGGGCCTGGTGCTGCATTTGGCAATCTTTCCATAGCCTGATTTAATTCGGAAGTCGATATTTCTGTGTAGTCATAGATGGTTGTTGTGTAAGCCGAATTAGGAAGATGCGTTGAGAACCTGTTTTCTAATTCTTTAGCCAACTGATTCAATGATTCCTGTAGTTCCTGTGAGGTGTAAACTACTGAGTCAACGTTTCCTGGTATTGGGGTCTTTTTCCTACCACGAAGGAAGTTGAATAAAGCACGTTTGTTATTTGATTTAGACAGGTACTCGAAATGTCCTTGGTCATATTGCTCTTTCGCTCGCGATACAGTGCGTTTAATTGTTGCCGCAATGAACTGATAATCCTTCCAATTTTTTGGACTCTGATTACATATAAGTCTTTTCCATGCAGCTTTTCTTCTTCTATAATCTCGTGTGCACTCATCATTCCACCATCTACTAGGTTGGGCACTTTTGGATGACGACAAAGCAATTACAAATTCTGAAGTGTTCTTGGAGATTTTTAAAGCAGAACAGAGATTTCTGCCGAGGTCTTCATTTTGACCACTGGACACTGCCCTAATGTTGGTTGCTGGTGTTGGTTGCTGTTGGTTGCTGGTGTGAGAATCACGACTCGCGGCCACTTCGTTTTCTTTTTCGCGCTGTACGTTTTCGTGGAAAGTTTTCCTTGCGTAATTGTCGCACCCCCCAACTTTGCATCGCTTTTCCGGCAAAAAAATTGTGAGAATTATGCGAGTAAATACGGTATCCTGAAGTTATTGAGGCTCTGTTTGGTGCAAATAGAATAACATCTCAAGCTAGATATAGAGTGCAAGTTCATTTTCATTTCATTTTTCTTGCATTTCATTTTCAATTACGCTCGTCTTGTGCGAAAAAGAAAATATATACTTTACACGTGGCTCGCAGATGGCAAGTCGAGCAATTCGTCGAACTTGTCAGTGCTTTCATCAAAGTGATCTTATACGACTGTACACTGCAAAATAAAGGCAAATTTTCACAAACCTATTATGGAGGTGGTCTAATTAACCTAAACCTCGGTATATGTCACTCTCTACTGACCCCTAGTTGATACAAATTGTATAATCAAGTAGTCTACCTAATTTTGGCATAGCTTGCGAAAGGTCTAATCTTTGGCAAACATCGGTAATATTGTCTTCGCTAGTGTGCAATTGACGAGAAAGCACACCTGCGCACTCACGCTTTATGGCTCACCTGACTGAGGTAGTCCAACACAGTAAGAATAGGAAAAGGCAAGCCTTTGGCGAGTGCATCATGGTACTCCTTCCGTAGCGATGTTGGTTTGGGCCAGGCGAACTCCTCGTTGAAGTGGATGTCCGTGCTGTCATTGCTGCCAGGTTCGACCACGTATGTGACGTTCACAGAGTACAGGCCGACGTGTACGCCAAGCACTGCACGAAGGCGTTCTGTCGAAAACGACCTGCAAGCAACGCATGCTCGAGCTCAGTTGTATTTCTCTGCTGAATGTCTACTAGAATAGAGCACTCGCAAGGATCCTGGCAGCCAAAACAAGCGTGTGATGCAGTTGATGATCAGTTACCCGTAAAACACAGGCGTGTTTTGCACCCAGTGGTGCGACACGAACTTCAAACTTGAATTTAAATATGGTACGTATATGTGACACTGCCCTTTGGTAAATCCTATATATGATGTTTGTGTGTCCACAGATCTATCCCGCAAGTTATCTTGCATTCAAAAGTTTATGTGAGTACTCATTAAAAGGCACCTAACGAGATGGCTAGTCCTTAAAGTGCACTACAAGGCCATTCCGCTTAAATTGAGAACAACGCAGCAAGCAATGGAAAAGAAAATGGTTGGTGTAACCTTAAGAGACAAGAAGAGAACTGTGTGAATCAGGGAACAAACCAGGGCTAAGAATATCATAGTTACAATCAAGAAGAGGAAATGGACATAGGCCGGGCATGTAATGCGTAGACAGGATAATCGCTGGTCATTAAGGGTAACTAACTGGATTCCCAGAGAAGGCAGGTGGGTTAGGGGGAGAAAGAAAGTTAGATGGACAGATGAGATTAAGAAGTTTGTGGGTATAAAATAGCAGCAGCAAGCACATGACCGAGTTGACTGGCGGAACATGGGAGAGGCCTTTGTGCTGCAGTGAACGTAGCCAAGCTGATGGTGATGACGACAAGGCCGTCAAGATAATCTTAGACACTCATCCCACTCGGTATATCCCATGATGTAGTGAGAAATAAATTACTTTCTGAGGACATTGTTCAAAGTAAATTCAGCTTTCTTGAGCCAGAGGAAAAAGAAAAGTCGCAGATCTCACGTGCCTGGGCATCGCCGTTATGCGAAGCATACGGAGGGAAGGTGATCGTGTTGCAATTTTTTTATTGAGCGACACGTCATGGAATTAAGCTAAATATATGTACAAATGTTGCACACACAGACATATGTTGAAGAGTTGCAGATGTTTATATAAGCAGTTTTTTTCTTGCCCAACGATGTCAGCTGCAAATGTGTTTTAGCAACATCAGAAACTGATATGAAGCGCTGGTGCTCGCGCAGAGCCCTTGACCCTGCTACTTAAATCAATTTCAGCACATTGCACGCCATCACAATTGACGTTAACCCAATATGACGGCTGTATGAAAGGAGTACATATAATGGTAATGAAATTGGGTAGGCAGCACTGCCGAGATTTGATCCCGCGCCGTGCGGGTCAGCAGCCGAGTACCTTAGCCACTATACCACCGTGGCGGGGCAACCACTATTGTCGTTTCACGAAGATTAGCGTCTATTTGAAAAGTAGTTCCGAGACCTGGCATAGCTCTGAGGTAGAATGCTTGGGTTCGATTCCTGCTGGGATTATGACATTTATTATTTGCATTTGTCGGGTGGCTAGTACTGCCTATGTCAGGTTTTTTTAACACTGACCTTTATTCTATGCCTTCGTTGGATCGACGCTACCGATGTTTGGTATTGTTTAGCGTTCACGCGTTAAAATTGCCCATGTGTGTTCTCGTCAGTCTTGGGTAGATACTAAGTGTCAATCACCTGTGGCACATACCCGCTTACCAGCGGCACATACCCGCCGGTGAGTATGTGCCACTGCCTGACGGGAAGTGTTTGGCGACGTACGCGACGGGATTGTGACATTAGTCATGTTTTGATTAGCGCGTCATATTCGTCAAACCATCTTACCCTCCCGTGCTAATTTTGGTTCACACAAAGTTAAGGGGGTGACCACGAGAGCACCCAAATGTAAGCGGCTATATATATAGAGATAGATAGATAGATAGATAGATAGATAGATAGATAGATAGATAGATAGATAGATAGATAGATAGATAGATAGATAGATAGATAGATACGCTCAAAGTCGCTGAAGTTCACTAAGAAATGCTTCGCATTTAAAATCCGAAAGTGATTTTCAGCACCCCCCCTTAAGAATAAATGAGATTTTATGGCGATCCGAGCAGCAGGCGAAATTCATAAAAAAAAATTACGCCTTCTCCCGCTAAAGGCAACTGTGCGTAGTAGCGAAGCAGCGAGCGCTAAAGGGCTAGGTACAGTATGGCGTCGCACGTACATGCGACCACAAGCGGCATGGTTAAGCTACACCGGCGAAAAGTGGTGAACATATTTGCGACTCCAGCAATTCATGCGGCACCTAGCGGGAATATAGGAAAGCTGCCTGCTGAGGTCCAAACAGTACAAGCGCCAGTCGTATACGGTGGGAGCACGGCAGGATGGTGCTGCCCGTGAAGAAAAAACAAATGGACAAGCAGAATCCTTCTTTCCGAGTGAGGCACCAGTGTTAACTTGTTAACTCGAGCCTATTAAATGACCATTGTATTCAGTGACTACATGTCACTGCGGCGCCCGAAGTATATGAACAAATTTTGCAGAAAAGCGGTGCGCCATGTGCATTACACACACAACGTGACCACTTCAAGAACGCGCTCGCGGGACCACTGGTGCCGACTAAGATGAGATGCTCCACGTCAACAACCCGCTACCCTTGTACGAAGCACCGCAACCTGCAATCGCACTGCAAAAAACTCAATATTTGTGTTAGCGACAGCGGACGTGGTGACCATCGTGAATTCGCCATGCTGCAACTGCGCCGTGCCCTATCATGTTCCTTTGAGTTGCGAATTGCTGGCGTGCCCGGCGGAGTTTGGCTTGCTTGACGACGCCGGCGCCGAGATAGAGCATATTCTCATTTCACGAGCTCCATGCAGTGTCGTTAAACCACAAGGCGCCGCGCGCGGCAGCGGCGGTAGGCTAAATGGCAGATCCTGGTTTAGTCGAGATTTGTCAACGACCACGTCATTCTGTGTCTGTTAGAAGGTATTAAGATCCCATGTGCGTGCATGCCAGCAACAGCGCGGACTGCGGCGACGCGGAGAGAAAAGGAAACGCCTGGGAAGCCTTCGGAATGCGCTCTCATATGTACCTAGGTTCACTTTCGTTGCCGATGCAATCTATTTTCCCAGAGCGCAACGCTTGTGAGGAGAGACGTTTCCGATGGGAAGTGAAACAGTGGACAGAACGTTAACACGCGTGTCAATCAAAAAACAAAAACAAAAAACAAACGGGGGCATAAACAGGGGCATCTTATACGATACGGCGCGAGAAAAAAAAACGGAGAATAGAATCGGGAATGTATACATCCTTTTGTGGCCCATTTCATCGTTGGCTTTGTCTTTTTTCACCTCTTCGTAATAATGCCGCGCAGTACATACTATGACCTAGTAGGCCGAATCAAAGCTGATTTACATGACATTCCTGCCACTTAGGACTGAAAAACAGGCCAAGGCAAGTTCTTAAAATAGGTCGAGAACGTGTCATGCAAATGTTTATTTTATATACGACGTGAACTCGTGGTACCGATACCTGCGCATATCATAAACTTTAAACAAAAACGTAAGTTGGTCAACGTGTGTTTGCGACGTATGATACGCGATAGCTGAGCAGGTATATATCTTCAAGCTCTTTTGGGGACACAATCACTTTCGTGTGACTTCGCATCGTGTTGTGCAGTGACTGATACATGTACTAAAAGAGACGTGAGCTAGTCAAGCCGTCACCGTCGCGGCAGCTCACCTTGCATCGTTCTCAAGGCAGCGTGTGCCAGCTGGCTGCTTCTTTCGCGAACGCGGCGAGTGATCGTGCGAGCGTACGAAGTCGCACCCAAATGCGTACGCTCGAGGATATTATTTCAGCTTTTTGGCGAGCTTAGCTACGCATTTCTAAGCGGACAATGCAGAAAAAAAGCCAACATACACGCAGGCCATTGTTTTGTTTGCTGCCATGACGGTAGAGTTACTTTACGTCTACGCTGACTGTCCTGCGTTGGATATTGCGACCTTCTAGCACAGGCCACGCTTTCGCGCGTTCCCTTTCATAAAGGAAGACTGTGTACATGTGCAGCAGCTCCGCCTTCGCAGCTTTCTCTTCTATCCAACAAATGTCTACGACGCTCCCTACGTCGGCGTTGCGAGTTGAGAGAGGAAGGGAGCGTAAGAGAGGAAAGAGAGGAGGACGGGATGCGCATGCGTAATCGGGCCGTAAGCGCCGCTGAAAGGGGTGCCTAGAGGAGAAAAAGGGGGGAGCGAGCGTAGGCTACACTGCCTGCGTCAGCATTGCGAGGAGAGAGAGGGGAAGCGTAAGAGGGGGAGAGGACGTGTATGCGCAGTGGGGGTCTAAACGCCACTGGGAGGTTGCCTCGAGGAGGGAGAAGTGGGAGTGAGCGTAGGCTTTTCTGCCTGCGTCGGCGTTGCGAGGTGAGAGAGGGAAGAAGGCAAAAGAGGAGAGAGAGGAGGGAACACGCATGTGACGTGGGGTTCCAAACGCTGCTGGTTTGGATGCCTAGATGAGACAGAGAGATAGGCCGACGGTATTCCTTACGAAGTTTTCAAGAACATGGAAGGTGAAGCTCTTGATGCGCTTCTGCAGGCCAATAATAAAGTATGGGAGTCTGGGGACGTCCCATATGATTGGAAGCGCTCAGTTGTCGTCCTGATTCCAAAACCAGGAAAGTCTCCAAATAACCTGCAATCCTTACGCCCAATTTCATTGACTGCTACTGTCTGCAAGCTTGCAGAAAAAATGCTGGCCACACGTATTTCCTGGTGGCTTTAACGATCAAATCCGGCTCCAAACGGGTTCCGTTCTCATTTTTGGGCTGAAGATCGACTTTATATCTTGTCGGACGACACGGTGATCAGAGGAGCACGCGGTCACCTGGGGCAAACGTTATATCACGATGCTGGTGGTCGTAGCGGGCTTTTTGCATACCCCGTGACCTGGTTAGGCGAGACTGGGCTACTTGATGAGCCATGTGAGCCCAATAAATGGCTTCGCGAGCGTACTCGCAAGCAGATGGCTTGAGAGGCAAGGGGGTTTCAAATGGCAATATGGGGTTGCGATCATACAAAAGCTAAAAAGGTG